AGAAATAGTTAACAATACAGATAAAAGAATTACTATTACGCTAACAGAACCTATTAAAGTTTTTCCACTTACAGAGGGAAACAAAAATAATTTAGAATTTTTTCATATAGAAAATATTTTACAAAATTTTAATAATGAACAATTAGATGAGGACATAGAAAACCTAATACGCACAAATCATTTAAATTCTGAAGAAAAAACCATTTTAATTAGTCTATGTAACGAATTTAACGAATTATTCTACAGGGAGAACCAAAAATTGAGTTTTACAAATCAAGTAAAACACGAAATAAAGACCACAGACGAAAGTCCGGTCTATGTCAAGTCATATCGTTATCCATTTGTATACAAGAACGAGGTTCAAAGACAAATTTCCAAGATGCTTGAAGATGGGATTATAAGGCCCAGTCAAAGTCCATGGAGTAGTCCAATATGGGTCGTCCAAAAGTGTCCAGACGCTAGCGGACGTAGGAAAGTTAGAATAGTGGTTGACTACAGAAAAGTAAACGAAAAGACTATAGAGGATAGATACCCTATCCCAAATATAACCGACATCCTAGATAAATTAGGACGATGCCAATACTTTACTACCCTGGATTTGGCATCCGGATTTCATCAGATCGAGATGGATCCCAAGTCTGTACAAAAAACTGCTTTCAACGTAGAAAGTGGCCACTATGAATACACCCGCATGCCCTTCGGTCTCAGGAATGCTCCAGCAACCTTTCAAAGGGTAATGGACAACGTTCTTAGGAATCTTCAAGGCAAAATTTGTCTCGTATACATGGACGATATCATTGTATTCAGTTCTTCCTTAGAACAACACATTCAAAATTTAAGATTAGTCTTTAATCGTTTACGAGAAACTAAACTAAAAGTCCAACTTGACAAATGTGAATTTTTAAGAAAAGAAGTAGAATTTCTCGGTCATGTAGTAACCCCGGACGGCGTAAAACCTAACCCTATTAAAATAGAAACAATAAAAGAATTTCCATTGCCAAAAACGGCCAAAGATATTAAATCATTTCTGGGGCTCGTGGGATATTACCGCCGATTCATCAAAAATTTCGCTATATTAACGAAACCACTTACCAAATGTTTAAAGAAAGGGGCGAAAATTGAATATACCCAAGAATTTTTAAATGCTTTTAATATGTGTAAAACTGTTCTAACAAATTCACCCATACTTCAATATCCCGATTTTACAAAATCTTTTAACGTCACTACAAGCGCATCTAACTTTGCCATCGGAGCGATACTTAGTCAAGGCAAAATCGGTAGCGATCTACCCATAGCCTATGCCTCAAGAACCTTAAATTCCGCTGAAATAAATTACAGCACCATTGAGAAAGAATTGTTAGCAATTATTTATGCCCTAAAAACGTTCCGCTGTTACCTGTTCGGTAGAAAGATAAATATAATTTCTGATCATAAACCCCTTAAATATCTTTTTAATATGAAAGAACCAAATTCAAAATTTATAAGATGGTGCCTAGCTCTCGCCGAATTCGATTATGAAATCCATTATAAACCCGGAACTTTAAATAAAAATGCAGACGCGCTTAGCAGAATCGAAATAAATGTTACGGAACAAAACCAAAACCTTTCAGATAACTCATCAATGTCAGGAGAACCAGGCGACATTAACCAAATAACAAAAAACTTTCTAGAAAATCTAATAGAACCAATAGACGATGCACACCATGAACTTGACGAATTATTAAGTACCATAAAATTGACAGACACAGACAGAGAGCAAGCGCGACAACACATAGGTATTAACGACGATCAAATAATAGTTACTCAACAAAATGAATTAGACAATCAAAATAACTCACCTGATGACGACATCGAAACAATTCATTCGTCAGCAGAAAACCCTATTCTAGAAATCCCATTTACCGAAAATCTAACAACTTCCTACAACAGACAAATAATAATTAAACAAGGGAAAACACATTTTCATGTTACCAATACGAAACATTTCGAAAATAAAAATAATAATAATATTAGAAATAAAAGAAGCTTATTTGACGGAATCGAAACAGCTAGTAAATGGCTTTTTGGCACTCTAGACCATGAAGACGAAATTAAATATAACACTCAAATCCAAAACTTAATTCAAAATCAAAACTCATTTTCACATCAATTACAACTACAATCCTCTCTCAACACCCAGCTCATTAACCATTATAATCAGACAATAAATAACCTTTACAAAAACCAGTTACTGTTACAAGAGAGACTTAATGATATTTGCAACAAATCAAAAAATTTTACCGATCAAATGTTCATGTATATACGGTTACCCAATGCTCTTGATCAAATAATTTTGAATTGCCAAAATTTAATAAATTTCGTAGATAACTTGGAAAATGCTATTATATTTGCCCATTTAGGTAGCTTACACACTTCAATAATTCCTTTAAAACAATTGACAAATTTGATAGAACATGTTTCAATAATTCACGGCGAAACAAAAGTCATTAAATTTAAAAATCCATACAATTATTTCCAATTAGCAGGAATACAAGTAAAATTCGAAAAATCAAAAATAATATTTGCTATTCACATTCCTATTTTAATTAACAGCGATTTCTTGACCTATCACATTATTCCTTTGTCCTATGAAAATTCCATAATCATAACACCCAGTCCCTTCCTCGTACTCAGTACCGAACTCCATCAATATGAAGATAAACCTTGCCCACAAATCGAGGGAATCTTTTTCTGCGAACACCATGAAGATGTCACAAACGACACCTGTGCCATAGCCCTGATTCGAGCCGAAAAATCAGTCTGCAAAGTCGAAAAAATAGTTCTATATCACCCCATAATAGAACAAGTCAACAATAAATTCCTACTAGTACTACCTACCAAAATTCCCGTAAAAGTCTGGATAAACTGCGAAAGAAAGAAAATAGCCATAATCAACGTCAATACAATTATCAAAATTCCCAAGGGATGTAGTATTAAAATAGAAAATTCCCTATATGAAAACACAGAAGAAAATGTAATTGGAAACCCTCTAATATTGCCAAAAATGGAATGGAGTCCATCAAAATCAAATTCAATTTACCAAAACCTTCCTCTGAAATTACATTCAATAAACTTCAAAGCCATCCAAGAACTATAGAAGATAGCAAAATCCACCCAAATTCCACAAGAAATCCACCCCATAATTTGGAATGTGCCCAGCCTAACGATAGTAATTGCCTTGGTATCTACTATTATCTACGTATGGTACCGAAAGAAGAAATCCAAAAATCACCAAAATCTCTCGGAAGAAAACCACCAACCCGAAAACAACCCCATATCAGTATTGTTTTCGCCTAAGGAGGGAGGAGTTATATAAGAAGAAACGTCGAGTCTATTAAAATATAAAACCGTAAACGGCGCAAACTGTTAACTTTGCATTTATTATTATCATTAAAATTATATTATAAAAATTCATTCCAGCTTAGATTGTTGTAGAATAAAGTCATAAATAAAGTCTCTAATCTTCGAAAAGTAAATTTTTGTTTTTTAAAAAATTATTTTCGAGTTAAATAAATTTAACTGGTACGTTAAGTTCTTAAGTTACGTTACGAACATTATAAATAAGTATACGTAAATTCAGTATTTCAACTTCTTAAGTTACGTTACGGCGGTTATAAATTAAGCTTGAATCTCAAACCTAGCTATGTTGTGGGTGAGATGGCTACGGCATTCGGTCATACCGTAATTCGCTTACCACCGTATTATTGTACATTTAATGCAATATAATTAATTTGGAGTAACATCAAAAGGGAAGTCAGAAAAAAAAAATGTTAATCCTGCGTTGTCTGAAAGCGTTTTAGATGTTATAAGAGAAGTTGTTGGAGGTATATCGCAAGAATTATGGTCCAATTGCGTTCTCCATGTAACCAAAATTGAAAATAACCATCGAATATTTCCGACTCATTCTTGCGTTATAAACCTGAATGACACGTCAAGTGAAGATGATAGTTCTGATGAGATTTGATTTTCCATTATGATTATATTTTTACGTTATTAAACGTAACCACATATCTGTTGGTTCACGTTATTTTGGAAAGGAACATGATATTGTTCCTGTTTTCCTTCTCTAGGAATGTAACCTTGACGTGGTGAGAAAGTACGTGCTTTAATCACTTTAGAAATTAAACCCAGACTAATACATTCCAAAATTATTTAATTTTTTTATAATAAGAGGATACAAATAACAGTTGTTCAAGCATTTTTCGTAACATCCTAAATTGATTTTTAATATTCAATGTAATATTTAAATACTTAAATAACATAGTTTCATGGTGATTTTGATTACAAGTTGCGAATATTTATTTTGCCTTTTAAACTAAATTTAGTAACATTTATTAAATACTTAGAAAATAATGCGAATAATGTGATACTTTTTAAATGCGTATAACATTTCCACTTGAAATATACAATAATTTTAAATTAAAGCGTAACATACAACTAATTAGATCCGTCCCTTAAAGATGGTCTATATATGAATCTTTGTTGTGCCGAAAGAGAAAGAATATCTTTACCTTCAACTATACACTCTCGCTAGATAATATATGATGCAATCTCGTCTGCTCACATCAATCTGTAATGCTGTAGATATTTTATTTCTGAATCTGTATACAGACTATATAGGCAATATTAAACTTTCGGACCTTCTCTACCTGAATCAGAGTAAACAACTCTAGGCGGTCGCACATGCATTAGAAGAAGCGATGTAGCATCGATGCTTCCATTTCACGCATCAGAATATATTTTAAAAGTTGACTGTAAATTTCTAATTACACAACACGGTGGTTCGAATACCACAGTAGCATTAATTTGCATGATTTGTTGGGTGGCGGTTAGTAGTGTTTGTAAGTTATGTTGATACGACTTCTAGACTTCAGTTTCAAAGGGCGACCGCGTCGATTATTTGTAGGTTGGGTTTTCCTCACATAAAAATGAGAATTTCGAAATAAATGATATATAAAACATACTTTTATAATAAAATTTTATTAACAAATATAATTAACAAACATTAACAATATTGTTTGAGGAAACTACCACAAATTTAATAAATGTACAAAATTACAAAGTGAAATTCTTTTTGTTCACAATAACAAAAAACGAATTAAAAACAATATACAACTAACGGAATTTGTAATTTTAAAGCCTACCGGAATAAGATTTCACCAAAGTAGAGAAAATAAATATGTATATTAAAAAAAAATCAAGACATTCCCAAATATTTTAGTTGCCAAATTATACCGAGTTTATATTTGACATTAAAGAATAACACATGTCATTTTAACAATTTATCCAAAACGCCAGTATTTCAGAAAACAATAAGATATTGGGTAAACTACGAGATTCTTATAAAAAATAGAATATAGTAATATCAAAATTAGCACCTTTAACGAAGGCAATTCTTTGAAATATAGTACAAGGTTCGCCCAAAAAGTACGCAACAAATATTTAAATATTTGTCATCCAACGTAAAAATATAAATATAAAATTTTAAATATAAAAATTGGTAAAATTAAAAAATAACATCATTTTTGCTTACTTTTTGGTATAAAAAATTCCCTGAAGTACAATTTTTAAAACAAAACATCAGTCATATTTAATTATCAATTTATCTAATCTATATTTTCTAATGAACCAAGTTGAGACAATGTTCGTATCACTTCTGCTTTTTGGTTGTCGCTTAATTTTTCTATTATGGCTACCACTGCATCTAGAGCTACATCTGGACAATCCTATAATTATAAATCGTATTAGTAGGTTTCTACAAGGACGTTGTAAAGAAAATATATCTCTTTAGATAAATAGATAATTTAAATTTGTTATTAGAGGACAGAGGCGTACAATTTTAAATTACCTACAGTAATTAGGATAAGTAGCTTGTACTAATATTGGCTAGCAATCAGAAATAACAGGAGATGTAACTACAAACAAATATCGTGTTGTCGTGAATAAGGCATATTCTAAGGGCCGTATTTATAAACAAAACTCAGCTGAGTCGGACTTGGGTAAGTCGTCCTTTAACCAAAATCGAAATTCGGTTATATCGCGTGAATTTAAAGATGGGTAGTAACAAATTCGTAAATGTACATAACAGTTACATATTTGCTAATATCCATCTCTAAATTCCAGTCTAACACCAGAACCACCTAGAACTTTAGAGACGTTGTAACCGAACTTCGATTTTAGTTCAAGGACGACTTACCCAAGTCCGACTCAGGTAAGTTCTGTTTATAAATACGGACCTAAAGGACACAGGAGGGTTAAATATCCGCTGTTGTCGTGCCTATTTCATTATTCTCTTTTTTTTTACAAAATTATTTACATATCTTGAAAAAGCTAAAAAAATTCAACCTATTTTATTGAAACTGAACCCAATTAGTTATATCAAATTTAACTAAATTAGATGTAATTTAACTAAATTACATGTAATAATTCTGAATAAATTCGAAAACCTAGTTAATGTTAAGTTGGGTATCAAGTATTTTATGCTAGATGTGGCAACACGACTTGCATTTTTTATGTTGTTCATTATGGACGTACAATGGCTTACACATGTTCATCGATCAAATTGTTTTGTAGGGCCACCAAATCCTTTAGTTTATCCTTTTCCATACCTCACACTACATGTCTCTTCCCTCCTGATCTACAACTGGACCGTATCGAATTATTTGAACTGTATTATCGATGACGGCGTCAGGAATATTATATTTTATCAATGAATAACTATATCTCCTGTTATCTCTGCTAGCTATGCAAGGCAGCACTTTATGTCTAGCATCGGCCAAAGTCAAAAATCTCCACTACAATTTCTTTTAGAGTTATAAATTAATTAGAATAAGACTGGAGAATGTATTATACTTACATCTAATGTAACCTTAATATGGTTAACTACAGCATCTTTCTTGACTGCATGAATATTGTGATAAATGATAGACTCGTTGGCTGGTTTTGATAGCTGTTCTTCAATCCATTGGACAACTACCTCGTTTTTGTCCCACTTGTAACCCTAAAACAAAACATACAATATTAGATTGTTCTAGGTTTACAAAATGTATTACAAACATTTAAGAATATTATATAATTGTTACTTACTTCTGAAGCTCCTCTAGCTTCCACGAACCACCTCCTGAGCATGGCCTCTCCTTGTCCAACTTGTATTTCTGGTTGAACTTCGATTAAAGCTTTAATTACCCTTTCTTCCAGAAGACGTCTTCTTAATCGCCAGTAGATTGTACTTCTAGATTTACGCCAAGGTACAATTTCCTAAAATTTATTCTCAAAATTAGACAATTCAAAATGCTAATATCCCGGAAAAATTAAATATTGGGCAGTAGGCAATGAATTTGGTATTTGCAAAATGGACTCACATTTCCTTGTCCTTTTTAAGTCGCACAAATGTAAGAACCTATTTTCTGAAGTAATTTGTTCATTATAATGGCTTTGGATTCTAAAATATATGGCATAATAGTAAACAGTCAAAATATTAACATCATAAGATACTAATCTTGTCTTACAGCTTAGAAGGTCTGCAAAGTATGCTGTGTTAGAGAAATCGATAAAATAGGATGGCTCTTGCTGGTTGTTCTCTTTCTATGTCACTTATACAGTGTGTTAAGTTTCATACAATTACTCCAGAAGAACGGTATAGAATAAGGGATACCATTGATTAGACAGAGGCAGAACAGTGCGCGCTAGACCACTGTGGTAGAAATGTATCCCTCTGTCCAAATAAGGCAGGCTCTCTTATTTCTCACACATGCAAATATAATTAAGTGTCTCATCTTTATTTCTAAGGATCCATGGGTTAACATATTGTATACCTAACAGTAATACTATGGAATAAATATATCTAGGTAGTGCTATTTACACACCAACTTCAAGCCGATGTGGAAGTAAAACAAAAAATAATTCGAGAGACGCTAAAATGGTGGTTCCCACCTTATAGACACTGAGGCCCACAAGGGCAAACTCGCAGCGTAACAAAAACGAGAAATGATTTAACTTGGAATGAAAGACCCAAAGCCGATAGTAGTATTAGGACGTTGAATTTTTTTGTTTTGTGAGGCATTGGCATTACTTAGGTTCAACCATGTGATGATTTTCACAAGCCTTGAATTTAAAACCATTCTATATCGCCTTATGATTAGGGTTTAAAAATTGTTAGAGCAATTTATCCAATAATAATTGGCCCCTTTACCTCTTAAGCCTGCTCATGCAAAATATTTGGGCTCCTTATTTCGCCTATTTATATTCTATTAATATTGCATAGTATTGCAACTATGTTAAAAGAAATAAATTGGCTTTCAGTTCAGAATTATGTTCAGTACATGACCGATATTTATTTATAAAATAAAAATGACAGTACCATCGCATCAGATCTATTAGAAAAAATTCAATATAATTCGCAATATTACAACTATAATACAAGAAGCCAATATGACTTTCATGTACGGCAAGCCATCACTAAAAGTTCCCAAAATATAATTGTTATTAAAGGTTTAAAAAATTTAATAGACTGCCTACAGAAATTAAAAAAAAATCAACAATAAATGTATTCAAAAGTAACCTCAAACAATACTTGATAAATAAACAGAACGGATATACTTTCTTGTGATAATACTCTTTAAACCTGCCCTTTTTAAGTATTTCCCTTAATTTATTGTTATTTTACCCCTCGTTTTACTACTTACTATGTTTAAATTATTAATAGTTTTGAGACGATAGGTTATAGCAACTTATAGCCACAAAACTATTTTTGTGTTAAAGTAGATCCATAGAGAGCAATGTAATTTACAAAGGCCTTCTTTCAACATACAAATAAATGACAACTTTATAATTAAAATGAAAAACACAACAAAATACCTAGGTATCATAATTGATCAAAATTTGAAATGGGTACGTCATTAAAATCCCAAGGTAAGAAGATTAATTTTTAAATTTTATGAATTGAGGAAATTTATGACTAGGAGTTTACGAATTATTAATTACAATTCGCTGGTTGAATATATAAACCAGCATTGTATAAGAACATTATACTATCTGTCTTGCTGTACCTTTATTTATGGAAAGCCTTAATTGAGATACACTACAAATTATTTGCAATAAATATCAAAAGAAGCATACATTTTTAAATAATTTGACATTTAAGAGTCATTCACACATCACAGTTGACATCTTGATACTTGACAGGCACAGCCAAGCATTCTGATTTTTGCCAAATAAAATGGCCGCTTAATTATTATTCCATGGGGTTGCGACAGAGAGCCAGTAAATTTGATGAAGGTGTTTTTGTGGCTAGGAGCGAAAAGTAGTATGCTTAAGTTAGCACCACCATAAAAAAGTAATTTTTAAGAAACTGCTTATATATTTTTCATAAATTGGCAGGCTTGGCGACTAATTTCGAATAAAAATAGCATCCAAAATAGCTATAGTTGCAACTATGAAGGTCGCAACCCGCCTTAGAAATTTCATCTTTACTATCAACAGCTGTTGTTTGACAGGTCGTTAGAGAATGTTTGCAATTTATGGAATGTAAAGAATGTTAGGAATGTTGACGTTAGAAATAATTGGAATTCCTAAAATTGTCACATAAGAAATGCATAAGGGGATTTTAAGAAAATTGATATTAAAGAAGTTAGGATGGACCGAAAATTCTGAAAATCAATAGTGTTCTAAGTTAGAAGTAATTATTCAAGAAAATCAAAACCGCAAGTCAATCAGAACTTTCGTTCTAGAGATATTGTGCCGGCATACATACACACAGACGACCAGACGAAATTTTTTTTTGCATTTTCAGACTCAGAATGATCGGAAACATAAAAAAAGTTTTAAAAAATGGAGGTAAGAAAATTTTTTCGTCTGCACGAATGCAATACTGGGGCCCCATAGGAAGGGCCTCAGTAATTATCAATAACAACTTATGAAATATAAACCATGAATAAAATCGAAGCACTGGAAATGAGAATCATCTTAAGAAGGCCTTAAAATACAATTTAGAATACATTTTGAGGCATAAGCGAAACCGATTGCTGCAGATCGTACTAAATGATAAATTAGAAGAATCAAGTGGTATAACATCGGCCTGGAAGAAGAGACCTTGTGCCGATTCTGTCAAGAAGACTAGGAAACTGCAGAACTCGTATTGTGCTACTGTGAAGGTCTATAAAGACAGATACAGTTTAAAGAACGACCAAGGACAACTAGCTACGCCGGAGAACTACTTCCTAGACCAAATTAAACAACGATAAAAGGATATCCATAATAGACCTAAAAATGAATAGGTGAAGGAGGCTACTTGGGCCACAGTTCTATCGAAATCTAATCTAATCTTCTATTCTGAAAAATAACACCGGATTTCAAAACGTTGGCCACATATTCCATCTAGAAAGGGACCAAGAACTGTTTCCACCCTCAGGGAGTCCTAACATGGTACAAAAAAGAAAAATATAATAAATAAATAAATATACTTACACTAATGGCTCCTTTTTCCAACATCCTCTCAGGAGTATCGTGTAAATCTGCAAAATGTACGGAAACTTGGTGGTACATAGGTAGCAGGAAGTTTTCCCTTTGTTGGATCTTCTTTTCAAGACCGAGGACCTCTGGCGGCTTGGGCTTTTCAATAGCTTGGGTAATGCTCATTGAACGTTCACGAGCCTGCGGAGTTATGCTGGCTGAACGGTCTCTGGGAATTTCTCTCATTATTTGTGCGACTTGTTCATCTAGTTCTCTCACCTAAAAGATACCATTTATAATGAAGCGTTAATTAATACAATGTGATGAACTACTAAAGAGTTTAAGCCTTAAGCTATGTTCATCAAGAACTTATAGTACCTGTAAAGATAATAGTTAAACTTTTACTTACTTCTGGGTCAATTCTATGTATCGTTTTAAGTAGATCCTTCTTTCTAAACTTAATTTCTACTATTCCCTCTGGTTCTAAGACACCGCCCCTAGAATCGTTGTCAGCGTACATTTCCATATACCTAGAGTTAATTGTGGGATCAACAACTGCCCAAGCACCTCCTCTAAGTTCTCCATTAGGTGGAATGTAGATGATTATTGGTTGTTTATATTCTCGAAGACCATCAACTATGTAGGCTCCGAATTTCACAATTTGTTCATACATATCTAAAAGAAACAAATGTTCTTATAGTAAACATCAAATTTTAACCTTAACATTGAGTCACACATTTTATTTGCCCCTCAATTGAGTATCATATATGTTATATACCTTTCATTCCACCACTGAATCCTCTCCAATTGGCGAAAATTATTAATGGTAAGTCTTCTCTGGAGAAATCTTTAATGGCCTGAGAAGTTTTGTATGCAGAATCTGGGAACCATACTTGACCAGCTTGAGAAATAGTCTGCAAACAAACGTAATAATTGTTAATGCCTTTGGGAGGATATTATTTTTCTTATCAATTGAATACCATAAAATAACTGCCATAATTGAACATTTAACACTAAAAGGGAAAATGGAAATATGGAAACAATACATTGACTTGACGAAGACTCTACAAGGATAACAAAAGAAAACGTAGAGCAAGACAATCAACGATTTCTACCCATAAATAAATGAGCAATGGAACCCAAGTTATTATTTTGTTGTAACAATAAAGATGACGAACTTATAGAAGAAAGTGATGACAAATAAAAGAATGATGGAATACTTTGAAGTTTGAAGAAGTTCTAAATTAACAATTAGAAGCAGATGAACATGAAAAACTAGAAAGTATAAACATTTTGTGATAAAATCAATAAAAAATAAATAAACATAACGCCAAAGAAAGGATAATAGAAAAATATAGATAGAGTTGATCATTTAAATACCAGATTTCCCACCATCAAAATATTACGAATGAATCATATATGACTAAAATATGTGGCGTCTGTATATAGAACTAAAGACTCAATGAACAGGAAAACAATTTCGAAAACATGGTCATTTTTTGAAGCCCGAGAAAATTAAAAAGATCAATATAAATAATACTAGAACATACTTCTGAAGATTACTCAAAAATATCCGATATTTACAACTTTTCTTAAAGCCATGGTACAACAAAAAGGCCTGTAAATCTGATGACTAAATAAACAAAATACTGCTACACTTCAACTTGTGTAAATTTTACAAGTTTCGAGATAGAAAAATCCTATAATAAGCAAATTTTTAAGAACAAAACTAAAACCTGTAAAATTATTATTACTATTTGAAAGAAGTATATAACTATTCAAAACATGAATGTATGTTACAATAAAATACTTAAATTTACACGAAACAATATGATTAAAATTTTCATTACCTGACAACACGGCTATGAAGTACAAGTGTAGACAATGAACAATAAGATTATTAAGAACAACTTTATTAATGCATTTTTCAACATTTTTATGGAGAATTAAAAAAAAAACTAACCGAATTCATAAATATAAGACTGAATAGTGAATTTTATGAACAAATTGATGGAAAATGGGATTTTCATCACCAACAGTAAGTCGCTCCAGAATGCCACATCAAATGATAACAGCAACCCCCTCCCCTTCTCAGCCACAAGCTATTCTTTCACAGGTCACTCGAGAGTGGAAGAAATATAAGGATAGTATTAAATATACAGGAGTTACTCTAGTATAACACATTTTTTCGATCTTACCTTTGCTTCGGAATCAAAATTAGCTGGGTCGGCAGGCAAAGTCAGTTCTACAGTCCTTGTTTCAACAGCTATTACTCCTACAGGTATACCACCTAATCTGGCCCTTCCAGCGACTACAGTTTGAGCCCAGGGTTGCATAATTTCTGACCAAGAACCTTTATCAAAGAATCCACTTTCCCAAACTGCAGGGTCATCTTAAAATAAACAAAATTACGCCTCAATTTCAATGAGATTAATGAACGAATTTATTAGTGATCTGTTAACCACAACACAATTCCTGCTGTAGATTGGTGAAAATTTTATAAATATCAAGAATTACTTACTTGGAGATTGCCTTCCTTCAAGCATCCATCTTGGATCATAAGGAGTTTTAGTTGGTGTAAAAGTAACTTCCCTGGATATTGGATCCACTGAATCAATAATTGGAATAGTAGACATTTTATCCTAAAAATAAATTAAAACTATAATCTCTTAGCCTATACTATTTTTTAATCGATACAACCACAATGGATGTTTTGTTCAAGTTCTTACCTTTGGAATGTAAGAGAGCCATCTTAAAATAGTGTAAATTCCTTCAAGATCAGTTTGATCAGTTTTATGTGTTACACCATTGTTGTGCATGATTTGAATACCTCCAAGTTGATTATTTGAAGCATAAACTTCCCTTCCAAGCAACTAAAAATAATGATCAATTTTTTACTCATGTATACAACTTTTCCTTTGATAGCTTACCTTATTTAAAGCAGAATATCCAGTCAGGATGATATGGGAATTTTCAATTTGAATTACTCTTTGACCTAAACGTACTAAATAGGAACCAATACCGATAGCTCTACAACTAACCATGGAAATTGTTACAATTTCTTCATAAGCGGCTGACGTTTCACCAGCTATCATACCAGCATATTTCAAGTTTTCAACACCAAGGCCATCATCTTTACCTGTTTAAAAAATAATAATCTGTAGAAAATATATAAAGCTCTAAAATAGGGTAAATTATTTACAAGTTACAATGGAAAAAGCGAAAAAAAAAACTTATCACAAATTGTAGAAGAAATATAGAGGACAAAGAATGGAAAAAGGTTATAAAAATGGCAGAGACGAAGGCTTGTAGAAAAGGATAAAACCGAAACAATAGAATTTAACAAATTGAACAGGGCCGCTACAATTTCTTTTAAATACGTAAATACGTATACAGGGTTGGACAAAAATTGGCTAAACATCAGATACCTTTATTGGACAAGTAACAAAAAATGCCCTGGTTGATTTTGTTTTTTAGATGCACATTTATTGATATACCTCTATTTTTATGACGTCATCACTATTCGATATGACGTCATTACCAGTTTTTCAAATGGCAACACTCTTTTTTAGTAGTACCAACTGCATTACTTTCCTTTAGCATACTTTTCCAGATCCACTGCAACTGGAACGAGGTAAATCAAGAGGTAGATATCTCGTAGGGTATTGATCTAAAAGAAACAGGGGAACAGGATCAGACATATAGAGTTAATCCAAATGCGACATCACCATCCCATTAAGAAAATATACCAGGGTAGCTATTCACTAAGTCATGGGAGCGCTCCCATGGGAGTGTTCCCATATATTTTGCTCTCTTACTCTTAGTATATCGTGCTTACTCCGACCTAACTATGCATGTACCTGGGCTAAAAGTGAGTAAGCACGATATACCCACCTAACAGTTAGAGAGCAAAATATATGGGAACACTCCCATGGGAGCGCTCCCATGACTTAGTGAATAGCTATCCAGGTTAAAATACATGCAATCAAGTTACGTGTAAGAGAGGAATTAAGAAGAAAGTACAAAAAAACAAACCAAGTCTCTCAGAGAAAATTGATTTAGCTCGTCATCGGGCTTTCTCTTACCCATCTTATACATTGAGTTGGAAGTGAGATAGAAGTACTTCTCTCTAAAAGTACACGCGCGTAGGAAGCATATTGTTATAACGTAAAAAAAACATAACAACAAACAAAATTTAAAAAATGTATTTAGGTTATTTTGTTTATTATAGTTTGAATATTCGTTAAAAAATTTAAAATTATAGCATTTTAAATTTTAAGGTATATTATTTAATTCAAGAAAATTAGAATTTTCGTCAATTTCGGATTTTAAAACATTCATAACAATTAAAGGGTTAAAGATACGATGATGGACGTAAGCACTTTTTTTATTCGAAATATCCTAAAGAATATAAAAAAATTAATTCATTGCAAAAAATGCATTTTTTCTGACTTAATTAATTTTTCGTTGTTTAAACAATAACATCAACAAATATCGAGTGTCATCTTACACTTTTATAATCAGGAAAGCCTTCCGGACATTTAAAAAAAAATACGAATTAAAACAATTTTGCAAGCGAATGCGCCAGTATGCTCTGGTCTAACAGGATCATGCAACAAATTTGAAGAGATTTGAAGATATGAATAGAGAGTAATCGTTAATGAAATTTAAAAATCTAATGGCGAAATCGTTTGGTTTACTGTACTCCCACTTCAAGAAATTTCCCTTTCTTTGGAATATTGCGTGCGGCGATAATTGAATTTAAATTAATCGAAAACTATTTATACAGGATGGCACATATTTAAAATAATTTTATTAACTGGACTTTTAAAATGTTACAATCCATAAAAAAAGTCGAAATGTAAATCGAATATATCCCGTGCAACTCGCCAAACGGGTAACTTGAAGTTGCTTATTCCCAAAACTGAACTTATAAGAGACTCTTTTATATAATGGTATCAAAATGTACAACAGACTATCACATACTTTGACAGATGTTGAGTCACAGAATTGTTTTAGAAAGCTGCTCAGGAGATTTCTGTTAACTAGGCCTTATTATGATATTACAGAATTTTATAATGACGAGACACTGTGATATGTGTTTTATTTTGTTTTGTTCTATTTTATTTTAGATGTATGTATGTATTAATGTTAATTTATAATAATGTTTTTTTATATTTAAATGACTATTTATTTATTTGTGCTTTGTATACCAATATTGTGTTTGTCAATAAGTATTTTAACTTGGACAATAAACATATATTCTTTCTCTCTCTCTTCTCTCATGGAAAAGGAGGAAACCAGATATTACGTTATTTTCGAAAGCGAAGCTCTAGCTAGGCGGCGATACATCATTTTTGGACTCAGGAACACTTGGTAGAGAATCTGTTAAAACTAACCAAAGGCACAGGACTATTCAACATAGTACCTGAATACGGGGAATAGAATAGACTCAAGAAACCGCAATATTTTGGGCTATAGTATGTGCTTAAAACCGACAAAGAAAAAAAACGATAGTACATTTTTTTTGAATATGGACGCCACATAACAATATTTTCGAAATTTGGCGTTCTTAGACAAAAAATGTGTTCTTTTAACTGAAACTAACAAAAAAGAGGTGTTGCCATACAAAAAACTGGTGATGACATCATATCTCGAATAGTGATGACGTCATAATTTTTTATCTCGTAAATATCGTTAACGTAAATTAAATGGTATGCTAACGATTCTAAATTGGATATCAGTCAAATAAAAACTTTATTACTTTATTTTTGTTTAAAAAGTCAAAAATAAAAAAGTTCCTAAATACGTTTTTTATCATCTATAGTAATTAAATACATTAATTACTATACAAGATCTGTTAATAATTTATATATAACACAAACAAGACTAGCTATAGCAACAAAATCTATTTTTATACATGAATTGCAAAAATGTAATGCTCTGCCTACTACAATTAAAACTTAAAACAAGTACCTCTCTGCCTCAATTTAAAAAATATTTGCTACAATTTATTTCCAGTCCATAAAATTTTATTTAAACATTATTAAAATTCGTACTTAAAAGTACGAATTACAAACTTTCAATTTTTAATTTTATTTCAATCTAAAACTAAATTTATGTGTACTCACTATTATATAATTATTGATATTTTAAAAGTGCTATGAGTATTAACAAATAAATAACCGAAATTTGGCATCGTTACATGAAAAAAATGAGTTCTTTCAATGGATACTATCAAAAAAGGGCGTTTGAAAAACAGGCAATGGCGTCATATACGCTAGTTCAGTGTGATGTCATTTAATTCTAACCAAACTTTTAACAAAAACATCAATAAATTTGAAATATACGTTTTTACTGTTTTTAGTTTATTTCTAAATATTGTTTACAGGTCATAAAAATAGTTGAAAGGTATGTAAATTGGTAACTAAACGATTGTATATTTGATGCATGTTATCGACTTACTTTAGGAATATATTTATAAAAGTGAAAAAAACGATATAATTTAGGTAAACAAAACGAACAAAACGCACTCAAAAAATCTACTGTCACTTTAATTGTCAGTGGAACCATAATTACATCATCACTGAACCAGCGTATTGAATATATGTGTAAGCCGTTATACACCCATAAAAAACAACGTACATAATGCAAGCTATGTTGCCACATCTAGTACAAAATACTTGATATTCAACATTAACTAGGTTTTGGAATTTATTGAAAATTATTACATCCAATTTGGTGAAATTACATCTAATTTAGTTAAATTTTATATAACTAATGATTCAAAATTCAATTTCAGTTGCAGTAAAATAGATTGATTTTAGCTTTTTTTAAAGATGTAAATAATTTTGTAAACAAAAGGAGAATAATGGAATACATCTCCTATTATCTCTGATAGCTAGCCAATATTGGTTCAAGCTACTTATCTTTTAATTACAGAAGATAATTTAAAAGTAACTTTATTTATTAACATAATGAGTCACAATAAATAATATGAAAAAACAATTTTTAATGTACGGAGAATTGAGCTACAGACTATTTTATGAACTAAAATATTCTGCGAACAACCCTGTTGATTTATATGAGCCCAGTAGAAAATAACTAAAAATATAAGGTTATTAAAGTTATTACGCAAGATGGGCTAATGAGAAATGTTCATTAATTTATGTATCGTCGGAAAATTGGAGCAGTGTAAAATTTCGTGGAAAATGTAAAAGTAAACAGATTTATTGCTTCTCAAACTATACTCTTTTGCATCTGGTGAAATCAATCTTTAAAACGCTTTTTCCATATTGAATAGTGATGCAGTCATATATTGAATAGTGATGACGGTATGTATCGAATAGTGATGATGTAATATATCGAATTCGACCTGTCCGAGCATTTTTTGGTTACTTGTTCAATAGAGCCAGAAATCTGGTATTTCGTCAATTTTGCCCAACCCTGTACGTTACTAGAAGAATGGTAAATTTAGATTTTTTCTTGAACATTTTATTGATACCTAATGGTCTGAGACATTATTAAAAAACAGCTTACAGAAATATAACAGTGTTATATACAATTTTTACTTACCTATAATATCGGTCAATTTGTATCTAGATTCACCCTCGTCTTCAATTAAAACAGCCCTTACTGAATTCGTAGCGCTAACTTTGGCGTAATCTTCGGGTGTCAAATATAAATATCTGAAGCCCCTATCGGGTTCTTTGTTGTCTTCCCAGGCTACCCTAAAGACAGCCTTTACTTCTTCTGCTAAACCTATTCTAGCACCACTGTTCGCAGACATATAAATTCGCGGAAGTTTCAATTTTCTTGCTATTTCGCTAGCTAATCCAAATACCTATAAAAAAAAAACACATCGATGATAATGTGTGGAACTCGAAATGTACAACGATGATACATTAAAATTAACAATATTGTATACCTTATCTTCCCTGGGCCCAAACGAACCAATTAAATAGGTGACATCGTTAGCAATGACTATGATGTCTCTACCAGAAGGATACTCAGGTGTGTATAAGGTAAGTCTCCAAGCTATCATGCCAACATTATTTTCTCCCGGTACCCTTTTTTGTTCTATTAACCTACTTTCGGTTTCAGGATCGAGAATTAGTTCGACAAAGTCCATCAGTTTATCCGGAATAACAATGTTTTCTGAAAAATGTAAACAAAATATCATTAAAGTACAAAGGATATACATGTTAAGTACTACGATTTTTTAAAATTTAGGTTATAATAACTTACCACTCAATCTTTCTTGACTGTATTGCTTCCAGTGCCGATCTACCATTTGCCTAAACATATCGGGATAATCATAGACATACGTAGTACCAATAGATTGAGCTTGGAACCTCTTTTGTTGTAAGAAGTCTTTAGGAATGTATGGAGTAGATATCGGTAATCCATGCAAAGGACCTTGTTTTGACCCAAAAGATTGGAACTTGATAATACCTATAATGAAGACAAGCATATTAAAATGTTAATTATTTAGATATGAACAAATTCTAAAATATTCTTATTTATTTCAAAATTAGTTTTGTGATTTTTCAATTGCTCTTTGAGTCGGTATTGTAATCAATAAAATTCAAACAAATGAGGTTATGCTTTCTCGGATCATTAACAATTAAATTATATTGTTAATATTTTTCTGAAGAACATTCAAGAAATGGCTAAAAAACATGTAAATATTTAAATAATTAAATTACTTCATAAAATATTGGATTCAGTATAATGACGTTTCTATCTTTAAGGTAAAGGTAAATTTAAACATGTTTTGTGAATAAGGCTATCAGAATGAGACATATAAACAGATAATTACAAAGGTTCGAGATTCAAAGAAATTTAAAATGGAAATATTTGTATGCAGGCAGAGATAACAATATATCAATTCATTGATAATATACAGGGTGAGTCGGGAGGAGCGCACCAAACTCTAGGAGCATATTATATACGTGAAAATAATGTAAAAAAACTCATATGTTCTTATCCGATTTTCATTTGTTTTCAAGTTATGGCGTAATTAAAACATTATCAAAGTATGCCATATGTTCAAGGCTCAAAGGCATTTCATAATTCTGACGTTTTGATGAACTGTCTGTGTACAGTAACTGAACGTTTAATTTCGAATTTATGTGATTGTTAGTGTTGCAAAATGCCAGATACTTATTCAAATTTAGAATAAAAGAGTTTTTATGTGTAAATTTGTTTATTTGTTAATATGCTATAACTTGAAAACAAATGAAAATCGGATAAGAACATGAGTTTTTTTACATTATTTTCACGTGTATAATATACTCCTAGAGTTTGGTGCGCTCCTCCCGACTCACCCTGTATAATATTCGTGACGCCGACATCGATACCACAGTCGATACGGTCCAGTTGTAGATGAGGAGTGAAGAGACATGTGGTGTGAGGTATGGGAAGGGATAAACTGAAGGATTTGACGGCCCTACAAAACAATTTTATCAATGAATATATGGGTAAGCGGTTGTACACCGATAATAAACAACGTACAAAATGCAAGCTATGTTGCCACATCTAGTACAAAATACTTGATAACCAACTTAACATCCAATTTGGTGAAATTACATCAAATTTAGTTAAATTTTATATAACTAATGATTCAAAATTCAAGTTCAGTTGCAGTAAAATAGACTGACATTAGCTTTTTTTAAGATGTAAATAATGTTGTAAACAAAAGGAGAATAATGAAATACATCTCCTGTTATCTCTGATAGCTAGCCAATATTGGTGCAAGCTACTTATCTTTTAATTACAGAAGGTAATTTAAAAGTAACTTTATTTATTAACGTAATTAATCACAATAAATAATATGAAAAAATAATTTTAAATGTACGGAGAATTAGGCTACAGAATATTTTATGAACTAAAATATTCTGTGAGCAACCCTGTTGATTTATATGAGCCCAGTAGAAAATAACTTAAATTATAAGGTTATTAAAGTTATCACGCAAGATGGGCTAATGAAAAATGTTCTTTAATTTTTGTGTCGTCGGAAAATTGGAGCAGTGCTAAATTTCGTGGAAAATGTAAAAGTAAACAGCTTTATTGCTTCTCAAACTATACTCTTTTGCATCTGGTGAAATCAATCTTTAAAATGCTTTTTCCATTCTGAGCAAGGTAACTCAAAAACAAGTAAATAAAATGCTTTAACGGTTTAAAATGCTACAACAGCCTCTTCAGGCGATGAACAACGCTCGCTACTTATTTTAGTTTTGATGTGCCAGAATAAAAAGTCACTGGATGATAAATCAAGCTATGATGAGCAGTGATCCCAGGAGGATTTTAGAGTATATTTTATCAAAAAACATTAGCTATACACTTCTGTTACAACCTTTTAAGGAAGTTCTCAGATCATTAAACAACCAACTTCTTTTTTTCTTATAATTTTGAATATATAAATTAATTAGCCGATTATTATAAAAAAAACAAATATACCTGTGTCCGGATCAGCTATTTCAGTGTACAAGCTAATATCTAGATAGTAACCACTGTCATTAGCTAAAAAGAGACGAATTTTCGATGATCCTGCATTAGGAGATGGGCGGATAATGAGGTTGATTTCAGCTTGAAGTACTCTAAGCTTCCACAATCTTGGACCATAGCGCATTACCAAGTTTGTCACGGCTTCTTCGATCTAAAATTTAATATACATTTCAACAGTTTCCACAATAAGTTGTACTGAGGTCAAAATAGATTCTTTCAACTAAAAAAACATTTAAAAAACTATGAGAGGGCTAGATCTAGTGATATTTGGCGCAACAAAGGTTCCTTTAATGTAAACTTTACATTATTTGCTCATACTGCTAAAAATATGGAAGCCAAAATGACCTTATTGTGGAACACGTACTCAAATTTACAGATATATTTTAAAATTTAAACAAAAAGAGTATTCAAGTTTTGCTAAAAAACCTAAATTCTTATAAAAGCGTTGGATGTTATAAGTATGAGAAATTTAATATGGAATATTTACTGAATTAAAAAATAATTAAAATTTGTACCTTAGTTGGATCCATAATAACAGTCGGTATAAAATTAAGGAAAATGTGATTACAATCAGTCCTCTTTGATTGCGGGTGAGAGAAGGCTATTTCTAACTCATCCATAGCCTCCAAAATAACCCGTTCTCCTTCATTTTGAAGGTACTCAAAAGACGCCTCTTTGGTAATAAGATCCGAATGTCTGATGATCGACCGAATAAAGAATCTGTAGTCAGTGACTTCTTTGCCTCCCGCTCCCTTGGCTTTTCCGAGATAAAGGTGCATCTTTTGATTGGATGTAGGTAACGCTTCAAGGCTATAAGACCTCATTCTGTTAATTTCTAATTGGAAAGCACTGGCGGGTTCCAAGTGACGATAGATTCTGTCTTCATAGAAACCATCTCTAGCTCTGTAAGAAATAAACATTGATTATACTCATATATTTGTTAAAAAAAAAAAAATGGATCCTTTCAAATACTGGGTATTGACCAAATAAAAGACAAATTCCAAATCAAACTCAATTAATACGAGTTAGAATAATAAGTTAAAAAGATAATTTAAAAAAATATATACTCCAAAAAGGAACAATGAATTTCTCATGGATCCTATCATCATATCTTGACCAAATTTATATAAGATCATCCTTTTCTAACAAAAAAATAATCATAGAAATCGGACAACGTGGTAAATGATTATATCGTTGGACATAGATAAAACAAATTATATAGTGTGTTTCAGAATAAAGTACTGTAAACTGGGGTACTTGTAGATCTTAACTAATTATTAAGAGAAGCTAAATATAATTTTCCTGTAACCCTCCCAGTTTTCATTCTACAGGTGATAAAGTGAATTTGATAAATACATAATTTTCTAAATATCTTCTCTTATGGTAAAGCCTTTAACTTAAAACTATGTACTTGTTAATTAATCGCCATTAATCAAAGGCTAAGAAAACAATTTTATTCCAAACTTTTCGGACGCCCTATATTTCATAAAAGTTAAGATTAATATTTATTCCTCACGTATTTTGTCACGAAAAAGGAACTCTTGGTTGATCTCTGTAGAACATTCCATTTCCGAGAGTTTTCAGTTTTAGTTCTACTCATACATGAAAACTTTGTAGATTATGAAATTCCAAAAATACTAATTTTTATTAAGGGCTGATTTCATATTCAATATTAAAAAGTCCATTAAGTAAAGGGTCCATTAAGTCCATAAAATCTGGGTTCAATTAGTTAATGGACCTTTTAATATTTATTATAAAATCGGCCCTTGACAAAATTATTCTTATTAACCCAGAGTTGTGACAAATTGCGTGAGGAATAATTATTAATCTTAACTTTTATGAAATATAGGGTGTTCAAAAAGTTTGGATAAAAATTGTTTTCATAACCCTTGTCAATGGGTTATCATAATTTATCGAAAGAGAGTGTGTTGACCAAAAATGACTATTAACACATATATTATAAAGGAAGATATTTAGAAAATAATGAAAATAATTTTGGTTTCAAAAGAACACAAACACTTCTGCTGCTATATTTTCTTATCTTGAACTTGCTTATTTTAATATTAATTTTAACGATATTCGCAGCGATATTCTATGATTTGACTAAGGCGTTCGATCGTATCAATCATACAATATTTTTGCAAAAACTTGGAGTTTACGGAATCAAAGATGAAGCGCTTAGTTGGGTAAATTCTTATCTTTCAGAACTTAAGCAAATGGCAAGAACTACTAATGCCTTTTAAGTTTTAGAAGACAAATTTTATTCCTTCTTTAAATAAATGACAGCTTACATTTCAGACATTTCCACTCTATTTTTTGATGACACTGCGATTTTATGGCACAGCAATGACACCTGCGTTCTTTATAGTACCATAAATATATTGTGACATTAAGAAAATAAAAGCATAGTGCGATGCCATCTATTTGTGTCTAAATATGAAAAAAAAAAATAGAATGCTAAATCATAATATTTAATGTACTAATACGGAGTCCATTATTTATGGAATAATTAAAAATTAATCTAAATTTTATACTGCCATATATTTGTTAAAAAGACATGTATTTCACCGCAGGCTTTGGAGTTGGATAGCTTTTTTCTTCGTCTCTTAGAAACCAAGCCTTTATTTTGCCATTTGCCAATATTATACAGGGCATTTTACAAAGTGTGGACCCATGTAAAATTCACAAAATTTTAATTTGGGATTTGGGAAGTATGAGCGTGTAAACATTTTTTTGGACCGTTGGTTACAGCTTTTCTTTGAGTAGCTCCTGTATCAGTTTCATTTCAGTGCCGTGCGTGATAATAAAAAATAGGGTTTTTTCAAAAATCTTTCTTTAGACAAAAACACTCCAATTTTTAGTGCTTTATTTGCCATAAGCACTTTTAATTATCAAGGATGGTAAAGCTATAGTTAATGTAAGTCATTTATACAAGGTGATTCAAAAGTACTCAATCTTAAATTTAAAGATTTTTATAATTTGTTTTATTGGGGATAAAAAAAGAAAAAGCTACCAATCTTAAAACCCCGTTAAGCCTTAACCTCGCCTTATATCAATACTGTACATGCCATAACACCATAACACAATAATAGCAATAATGCATACATACAAACAATACTTGCACCATATTGGTTTTTAAAGTTAAGTTGGCTTTGAGATGGTTGATGCTTTTTACTTTGACGTAATTTAGTGAGAGTGACAGTATAGTCATTTTAGTTTTCTGTTAAGTATATACCTATTGATTAGTCAGGTTTTCATTTGCCTACGGTTTTAAAATTATGAATAATAACCGCTTTATTACCCCCAGAAGACTGTCCCTACGCTAGAGGACTTTTTGAACAGGGTTATTCGCAGAGAGATATTGGACGAATTATGGGAAAAACTCAAGGGGCTATTTCCAAAATTTTAAAAAGATATCGTGAAACTGGATCCAATCAAAGAAGAGCAGGTCAGGGCCGGCATAGGAAAACTACTCCTAACCAAGATCGTTTCCTAACTCTGCAGTGTCTCAGCGAACGATTTACAAGCACAACAAAGTTACAGGCGCGTTTGGCCAATGTATATAATGTAAGAGTGTGCAAACAAACAGTTTTTAAACGATTAAAAGAAGCCCAGCTACAACACTACGAGGCAGCGATTGGACCAAAGTTAGAGAGACAACAGGATTCAAAGACTCCAGTTTGCTCGGGAGCATTTGCCCTGGGGTGAACGTGAATGGTCTAACGTTTTATTTAGCGATGAATCCCGGTTTTGCCTTTACAGTAATGATAGACGCGTAAAAGTGTATAGAAGACCTGGCGAACGGTATGCACAATGCAATTTTAAAGAGCGTATTAGTTACGGAGGGTGTTCGGTAATGGTTTGGGGAGGTATTTCATTAGGGGCAAAAACGAACCTAGCGTTTGTAGAACGTTTAACAGCTGACCGATACATTGCGCAAATTCTGCAAGAGCATGTCATACCATTTGCTCCATTTATTGGGGAAGACTTCCTGTTTATGCACGATAATGCACGACCGCATACGGCAAGAGTAGAAAGGGAGTATTTAGATGAAACTGATATTGCCGTAATGGATTGGCCAGCCCGAAGCCCAGATATTAACCCCATTGAGCATTTGTGGGATAATATGGGTGTTGAGCTTCGTGAGGCACCTAATCCGCCAGAAACGTTGGAGCAAGTACAATGGGCTCTATAGCGTATATGGAATAATATTGACCCTATGTTTATACGGAATTTAATACTTAGAATGTTGAATCGCTACCAGGCTGTTATTGATGCTCGTGGAGGAAACACCCGTTATTAATTTTTTTGTTCATAAATTTAGTTTTGTATTTTCGTCTTTGTTTTTTATTCTCAATAACCCAATAAAACAAATTATAAAAAATCTTTAAATTTAAGCTCGAGTACTTTTGAATTATCTTGTATAAATGACTTACATTAACTATAGCTTTACCATCCTTGATAATTAAAAGTCCTTATGGCAAAGAAAACACTAAAAATTAGAGTGTTTTTGTCTAAAGAAAGATTTTTGAAATACCCTATTTTTTATTTATCACGTACGGCACTGAGATGAAACTGATACAGGAGCTACTCAAAGGAAAGTTGTAACCAATGGTCCAAAAAATTTCAATTTTTACACGCCCGTACTTCCCAAATCTCAAATTAAAATTTTGTGAATTTTACATGGGTGTACACTTTGTAAAATGCCCTGTATAATATTGGCAAATGGCAAAATAAAGGCTTGGTTTCTAAGAGACGAAGAAAAAAGCTATCCAACTCCAAAACCCGTGGTGAAATACATGCATTTTTAACAAATATATGGCAGTTTAAAATTTGGGTTCATTTTTAATTATTCCATAAATAATAACATTTCTGCACAATATTTTAGACAATAATTTTAAATTTAAGAACCATATCAGCACCTCAGAGGTAAGGTGTGTTAAGTCACCAAATCTACATTTGTCAGGAGAGGCATTTTAAAGTTCACTTATTCCTTTAACAAACAATGTAAAGAAACGGTGAATTTACTAAATATTGGGGTTTTTGCAAAAGTCAATTGTTTGTGCAATTTATTTCGATTTTTGTTAGATTTCTGTTTGATTTTTTTACTTTGTTCTAAAATTTTGACTTTGAATTCACTTATTATTTACTAGATAAAATTTGATATAGTAAATCTACAAGCGGAGAAAACTCTTTTCTCTGAAAAATGTGACTTGACACACCTTACCTACGAGGTGCTGATATAGAATTGATAACTTTCTTCTGAAAGTGAATATTACATTTTAGTTGAATCCCATTTAATAATGGGATTGCATTTTGGATAGGTTGTAGAGTGAACAATCTTGAGTCATAAGTCCTTTTGTGTTAGACATGAAATGTTAACCTTAATATCGATGTTCATTCATTGTTATTAATGCATAATTATATTTATTATTTCATCTATATACTCAAAAAAATATATAATAAAAGGAGTAAATAAACTTACCTATAAGTAAAGAATTTAGGTGTCTGTTTATGTTTCAAGGGCGAGAAAGTAATCCTTCGAATTTTGCGCGACAGAAGTTCTTCTTTGTGTTTGAGACAAAAACCATTAAATATTTTGCTCATTGTAGAATCGTCTTTATCCCCTTCATCTTTAATGCATATCATCAAGATATGAATAGGCTCTTCGATTATTTTTTCGTCAGTACTGGGCCTAAAAAGAAAATTATTATATTTACATATAGAAACGGCTATCTTATTTACAGTTTGTCAGATTGAGAAGTCAGTGTAGGCAAGATACATTAATGCATCTTAAATGGATGATATTATGTTAACGTTTCCAAAATGCATGCAGGACTGTCGTAAAAATTATTATAGAAATAACTGAAGTGTAGGATACGAACATAGTTTTAAAACAGATAATGAAATGATTTTGTAATAGTATATTGTGCAACAAGTGCATTTGCTCGTGCCGAAAGTTTCACACATAGTGTAGAATATTAGAACAATATACTTTTTCTAAGACTATAATGAAAAAAATACAAATCGAACATTTTTTTTAATAATTTGCTAAACTATGCAAACATATTTTTTAAATTTCAAATTCAAACTTAATATTAACGGCATTACAGTTAGAAATATTAATAGGTGGTAAATCATGGACTCTGATGGTTTTTCATATGTTGTCCATTTTCTAGTTTTTAATAATTATCAATAATCTTAAAGGAAATGAAATGTTAAGATTTTAAAGCAGAAATTGATTACAGGAATATCATGTAATCTACTTATTTTTTTGTCAAATTACTTCAAGCTTATATTTAATGAAATGTGTTCTTCAGAGATAATATTATTTCTTTATTCGCACTAAAGGTTATATGACAATTTATTCAATTATCTAAACAGTGCATTGAGTGACCGTGTGAAACAATATTTCCGCACTATACTAAATGGAATTGTATGAAATTGCCAACTTTTACGTTTATATCTCACAACACTGGATCCTCAATTTGGGATTTAGTATAGTATCTAATTGTATAAGCAGTTTTATATTATAAAAACCTTAACAAGGATATAGAAAAAAGTGTCTGTGATTACTTAGACTTAACGACTTATGCAAATGAAACTATTTGATAATAATTTGTTTCTTAAAATTTGACAGAACTTACCTTCTAGGTTCAAGAGATAAACTGACATTAATAGAGGTACTGTTTCCTCTCGATTCAGAACCACTTTCGACTGCATTAAGATCTTTGGCAGAAATAGCGGCCGGACTGGCGAAATCTTCAATGAGATCCAAAATTTCGTCAGAGTATTGTTCAAATTGTTGGAAATTTTCAAAAGCTGCCATGCATCCAGTCCTGTGGAACGTGTCAACTATTTTTACTTCTTGATTCATTTCCTCTGAAAAAAATTAAAAACAAAATAATAATAATATTAGAGGCTAATGACCTTAGCAGTCGATGCCGATGACACCAAATTAAAAATAATAATATTAACACAAGAGTTCTAATTTTGGCCACTTCAAAGTTTAATACATTAAAAAATCTAAACAATATAAGCATATTGCAGAATCGAAGTGTTGACTTCAACAAAAATGGCGTTGCTGGAAGGATAATATTAAGTTGGTACTTTACAAAGGAAGTCTCTGCTTTCTTTTATAAATTCTTACACCTTAAATTATAGTTTTTTTCTTGTAGTTCTTGGGCTTTTAGGTGTTTGTAGATTAAATGAAACTCGTGTGTGTGGTTATAGCTTTCAGCACTGTTCAGTGCCTTCTTCAGTAGTTTTTATTGGTAATTTTTTTCTCTTGTAAAAATAAACGTTTTAATGACAGGAGAAAAAAAAATTACCAATAAAAACTACTGAAGAAGGCACTGGTCAGATCCGAAAACTATAACCACACGCACACACTACAAGAAAAAAACTATAATATTAAGGTTTCACAGGCTACTGAACAAATGTCATGTCGAAGAATAGATTCAATTGCTGTCAAATGCCCACATTGTTTATTTTATTTTTTGTAATTCGCGCTACAGGAATCGTTATTTTCTATGTAGATTACCCAGAATCTTTAGTCAGAAATAGAGTAACTTTAACCTACCTTCAGTAGTTTCCATGGCTGAACTAAGTTTGACCAACCTATTCGGATGCGATGGAGGGAGGGTAAACGTAAAATGAACGAGAGGTACTTCCCCGCTGAGTTCCAAATGTTGTAAACAACTGATGTCGTAACTCGTATAAGCTCTTCTGACGTACACTTCTAAGGCAGCATTGCAAACTGTGCGGTTGGTGTGGTAGAAAAAGTCGTGGAGAATATCGAATATAGACGTTTCGGATACAATGAGTTTTTGAAGGTTTTCCGGATGAAATTCCTAAAGGGAAAAAGTATTAGTACTTGTTGTTTCTTTTTAAATCCAGGGTGGCTATGAAAGTCAAATATTTCACATTCTTTATAGTAATACTGACTAGTGATGGGTCGCTCGAAAATTCTCAGCAGACATTTCTGAAAAGTAGACATGTCCAAATAAACTTAAAATAGAAATAACAAATGACTATTGATTTTTAAATGTTTTAACGATTTTTTGATAAGTATTTGAGATAATTTAAGCCCCATATTTGAAATTTTTAATTTCATATTTTATAAAAACAAAAACGTGAAAAAATTACTAAAAAATCCAAAGTGTCGAAGTATTTTACAAGTAGATTATCTAAAAAAAAAAAAAAAAAACATACATTTTCAGAAAATATTGATATAGTTGCAGTAGGGTGGAGAAACATTTAACTGTTTTCTTCAATACAGCAGTTTCTGAGAAAGGCCAAAAGACTCAAAGAAAAGAGAATGACTACTTTTCACTACTTGTCCGGACCGGACATGTCCTGGACGTTTCTGTCCAGTCGCAAATGTCCAAACATTAATTTTCTGGAAAAGACCCATCACATGTTGATAGAAACGAGAAGGAGGTGCAATCACGTGGCCAAAAGTATTGTTGCTACACTTCCTTCACTTGTGACAGTTTATTTTGTTATGTATTGTTTAACCATTTTATATAAAATATATATACTTTTAAATAAACTGTGATAAAAAATATTAAAAAAAAGCTGAACGTCATATAACAAGCGCAATTGCACTAGTAGGGATGGTGTGGATAAACAGAAAATCTAAAAAATAACCATTTTATAAGCTAGTATAAACACAGTACAGAGCGGTAATAAAATAAATGCTGATGGTTTCTTATCATGGACAGTAATAAATAACCATTAGAAACTATATGCTAAATTAGTATACAATATTTATATACAAAATAAATACAATTTTATTAATTCATTGTAGATTCCCACATGATCTAAAACGAAGTAAAAATAGATATATTTTGTAAACAGTGGTTCCAAGCACTTTCTTAATCATCAATTTGATTTATCTTCGAAATATTATGTTCGTCTAATAAAAGATGACAGAATTTATTAATTAAGTAATAATAAAATTGACATGTCATTAAGTACTAGATATCATAATAATAAAATTATATTATTTAAAGTGCAATAAATTCATTTTATACTGATGCAGTTTGTTTTATCTTGGTGCAAGGGATTTTAAGATTCGTATCCACTGCACAGCTGTATTTTATAAAAATACGTTTTCATTCAGGGTAACAGTAGAAATCATATTTTTTTCCATCCGCATGGATATTATTTATTGTCCTCATAACATACAGAACGAAAAAGTGGACCATTTCGTTTTACTGAACAGATATAATTTCGTATCCACTCTAATCACGGGTATAAAATCCACCAGTTACAATTTATATTTGAAGATTGGGCTATTAGTATTTTTTAGAATTTTAAATAAGTGATAATTCTGTCAAACTAATTTTCAGTATATATTTGTTATTAAAATTCAATTTAAAAATGTGTAATTCTTTTGAAGAATCCATAAATAATAGCATTCCACAAGATATTCGTCTATATTTACAAATAAATCGTAAATTTAAATAAAACTATCTAAAATCGATCTAATTATCAGTATTAAAAAAAAATCTTGTTTGTTTCGTTAACACAGAGATAAAGTACTGAGTTTCTATGCAAAAGTTAGGACTAAGAAGAATATATTTTTTTATATCTTAATAACCTCTAAATGAATTTTTAAAACTTTGTAGATTTTCGTTAATGGGTAGTAGAAAAAATATACTGAAGAACTTGAGTGGGTTGTCCGTATTCACTCTTGTTACACAAAATACTATTTTTACAGTTACACTTTTTACCCAAAAATTACTCTTTTTTTAAGGAAAATATTTTTTTATGAAAAAAGTGCTAACTACTACTGTAAAATGTGCAATGACTAAAATCTTCTATTCAGTTTGAATTTACAGTTTTTATTTAAAGTTTTAAAACAAAATTCACTAAATCTAAAAAATATACAGACGGAAATTATATTGTATAAATTGTTTATATCAGTTTTCGCCTCAAATCGAAAAAAAAAAATATTTTAACGTATATACTTAGTCTGGACCTGGTACAGTAGCCATACTGATATGCTACACTTACGTCAACGTAACCCCTCCCACTGATGTCACTTTTAGAATACAAGTTTAAAGGGGCGTAGCATCTCCTTCACCATCCTAGCTATATGACCTTAACTAATACTGATATTGTCAAAGTTCTTCACGTTCACAAACAGCCCACCAAAAATGTAACGTTGCCACGTCACTTTCCGCTTTTCCTTAGATATTTTAAACCATTTCATTAAAGCTCACATATTTCAAATCTTAACCAGTCAAAAGATGTGTATCTATTTGAGCTATAAGACAAAACCTCCGAACAGAAGAAGACTCACGACAAACATAACCACATAATTATCTTCTGTGTATTTATTATAGTTCAATAAAAATTCAGTATTAAATTTAAAATGCCAAAAGTGATATGTAAAGTAATGAACATTTTCATAAAGAAAACTTATTTAAATTATAAAAATGGTCGGCCAGATTTGGACCAAGAATATATTATTATAATTAGTCTTGAAAATATATCTTCAATATTGAATATGATAAAAATGAATTATCAACAACCTTTCGTCTACTACAGCAAACTGGATAAAAATGGAATCATTTTCTGATTATATTTTGAGAAAAGATATTTGTTGAATTGGTTTGCTTTAGTTTGAAGAACCGTATTAAAATATACTTGTAACAACTGCATGACTTTTATTGCTAGTTGTTAGATATTACAAATACAACGATTTCAAGGCGGCTTTTTTAAAAAGAACTAAATGCCAAGATGACATATCTCGATCTCTTCTCGTTCATCTACCGATGCACTTCCCAAGTGCTTCTGGTAATGTCTGGGTTTGGTATTTAAGTTTAAAAATATTTCGTGCGGAAAATTGGATTTAACATTCAACGACATATTTAGCAATTGCATTTTAAAAATGAGTACTTTATAATTGACAAAACAATAACTTACGTTAAGAAAAATTTAGAATTTAAGAGGCATCACTGTATTTAGATAACCTAGTAGAAGAACCTTATGGACGTTTCATTGCAGGTAATTCTGTCGCGACATCTGTTAGAAGTTAGGACAAGTTCAGAACTTCATCAAAATGATCCGTGCGCTAGCGCATTGAGTATAGCAGTCACATAAAGTTTTAAATTAATTTGGTTAGATTGCCAAATTTAACTTAATATTGTTATATTGTCTAAAATGATGATAAATCGTAAATAAATGTACATTAAACATAATAAAACTCGTATATCTCATTTTTAAAACAAATAATAAGTTCATACTTAATCGACTGTGGGCCCATCTATTAGTAAATATAGAAATTACGTTCGTTATTAGGTTTCAATAACCGTTCGATGGTTCGGTAGAAGACGACAAAATTATCAAAGGCATGACTTGGACACGATGGAGCTTGCTGCCATCTATTGGTAATTTCGATTATCCTCCAAGATAATTTGCGTGGAGATTATTCTACTATACTATACAATTTTATACAAAATTATGTTTTTATTTATGACACACTAACATAGCCCTGCAAATTCCATCTACATCATACATTATATTCTATAATTAACCCTTTCTCTTCTGATAGGACTTTAATATCATTTTATTTTAAAGAACATTCCAAAAATAATTTCATATAATTATACCATAGATCATACTATATATCCAAAATTGGGCCAAAAATATTCATTTAACAGGATGTCTCATTTAAATTATTAGTTATATCAAATGATAAAAATGATGTGTCACAACACAACTTTTAAATATTATTAACTAATTTAAAATGGTATTTACATTATATACAGTGAAATATGTGTAATTTCCATAGCCATAATGGATTTAAAAAGAAAACGTCATTTATAAGATATGTTGTTAAATAGAAAAATATTCTTACCTGTCCGTACATATCGACAGCACTTAAGAATATACTTTCCATCTGGTTGTGTCTTAATTCGTAAGCGGGTTGATGTGCAGCGATAAGCACTTGTCTCGCCCTCAAAGCTACTCTAGAGTGCTCACTTCTATTCAACGATGTCAATTCTGTCAAACAACTAGCCAATTCATCTGTCAATCCTGGTTCGTTGGACCACAAGTGGTCGATGAGCATAGTGACCAAAAGATTCTTCTTGGCAACTTGGCTGTGCGAAAAGATGGTGGCCGTGACAGCTGCCATGTCGTCTTTGTGCTTTTCGCGTAAAAGAGACACGCATTTGTCGTAGGAACTGTGCTGAAATTGGTTTTCTACGTCGTAGTATTGACGTAGAAGTTCTTGGACGGCGTGCTTCATACGACCTCGGATACCATTGCGGTATCTGAAAGTAATAACAATTACAATTTTCACTCAGGGTTAATATATCAAAGATATAATGTCTATGCTTCATTTTTAAACTAAGAGGAGCGAACTGAAAAGTCACATTTACACAGGAAAAGTAACTAGATATAATTTTAGCAGCAAATCAGAATCTGATTTTATACCATTTAATAATAATAAAGGTCTTTATTTTAATAACTGTTCCACTCAACCGAGTATCAAATACAAACACTTCACATAATTAAAATAGACATTGTTATTTAGATTTCAATTAATTACTAGAAATTTTATATAAAAATCCATATTAAAACAAAAGAATTTGTTTCAGGTAGGTTGTTATGAACGCACTGAAGTCAAGATTTTATATAATCAATGAATAAAGATGACATTACAAAATTATGATTAACTTTTTTATTAACTGTAAATTATTTTAGCTTTTTACTACTTCAGCTTGTGCCTCTGTATAGATCGTAGCGCACACCAATATGGTGACAATGAGAAAGGATGTACAACTGAGTACTGAGCTAAATATCAATCAAAAGGCATTTCTTTATAAGCTTACCAGAACATACTTCTGTAACCAGAGCATTTCTTTATAACGTTTGGTTACTCTGCTTTGGTTACATGTTACCAAAGCATATGTAGCTACATCTAACGAGGCATTTAAGGCATTTCTTTATAAGCTTACCATAACTTACTAGAACATACTTATGTAACCAAAGCAATTCTTTAAACGGTTTGGTTACTTCCATGACGTCATACGTTACCAAAATACGTAACTACTACTAACCATGATGTTTTTAGGGGTAAGGTGTGTGGTAAGGTCAGTAAGGTCCACATTTAAACATATCGAGCATTCGCAAAGTATTGTAAAGATATTAAATTAGATACATTTTTCTGTGGTTACGGGTTATATGGTTCATTTTGTATATTTGGGTTGGGCATTTTTGTATTTACCAAAGAAAACTCTATTTACTATGAAAGAAATTATATTTGAAATACAGGGCACTGAAATAACTCTTCACGAGAGCGATGTTGATGGCCACTGGATACTGTTATTTATATTGAAATACAAAGATGAAAATATGGGACTACTGGCACAAGTATTTATCATTGTTATTTCATCACAAATAACACTTATTAATTTTTTTCTTCCTTTTGTTGGAGGACATATTTAAATAAATAACAAAAGAACGAAAACCAAATGGCGTCTGTGACAAAAACACTTTTATTTATCTGAACAAAAACAAAGTAAACAAATCCCCAATTTGACATGTGACAACGACAAGTGCTACGAGTTACCACGGTATGTCTGACGTCATCAGAGTAACCACAACGCTGTTACGAAGTATGTCGTGTTAAGCTTATAAAGAAATGCCTTTATTTATAAGCTTACTAGAACATACTATAATAAAAAATAACAAAGTCAAAACATCCTAAAATTTCTAAAATACAAATTTCGTTTAGAAATCCCCAAACTTAAATTAAATTTGACATATGACATTCAATAATAGGGAAACCATGGTATGCGTAATGTCACCACAGTAACCACAATACTGTAACCAAGTATCTTGTAGTAAGCTTATAAAGAAATGCCTAAAATAACGATTCCTTCCTCTCACTACGGAGTTTTTCAAGCATTTAAATAGTTACCAAATTTATTATTTATACAACAAAGTCTAACCAGAAAAAAGTTTATAGTATTTGAAAATTTAAATTAAAAATAAAACAAACTTTCTTACAGATATAAAGTTAACAATTTTATACGAAACACACTGATAATTTAAATTTTGAAAGTTGTCGATAAAGAAATGTAATTATTAGACATTTTAGTTTATATGAACTTGTCAGTTAACTAACCAATCAAAAGACAGGCATTTAGGCGCAGAAAATTCAAATCGCTCCTCCTAGTTTAAAGATATTTTTTAATGATCAATAAAAGGCATTGTTTCAATCAATATTAACCATACAGCAAATAAGTAGGCAATTGATTCCAACATTGATCAGTGTGTTGCTATATATTTTAAAATTTATTACCTTTGTACTAGTTGTATAATTCCTTCAGTAGCCAAAAAGAAGGCATCTCGTTCTGTTCTCTTTGTCATACTGGCAGCGTGAGTGTCAATTACACTTGCAATCTAAAAATATGATCAGCATAATTTTTAATTCAATATTTAACAGTAAAAAATTAGACAATTATTTAGTGAGTATTTTTTACAAAATAGAAATAGGAATAAACTTTGGTGATAATTTAACTTACTTGTTGGCTGGGGAATTGTGCCAAAACGGAAGTAATATTTCTTTCATATAAAGCCATCAATCTTCTAATTTTCTTTTCAACAGCCGCAGGTATACGTCCAGAAATTGATGCCATAACTTCCTGAAGTTCTAGTAAAGGAAGACTAGGATCCCGTAGGGACGCCATAAACTTTTCGATAACTTCACGCAATCGGGGAGCATTATAAGGATCAGGCAAACAAAAACCTAATAATAAATTTCAATATAAATATAAGAATTAAAAGCATTTCAATATTATTTACCTCCTAAAGTATTTTCTAGAGCAATCCTATAACTAGTATGTACATGATTTAATTTTTCTGGTATGACTGGTTGAGAAACATCCAATTCCGGGAATGGTCCTGTATAAGGAACGGCTTTGGTTACTAAACTAGCATCGTCCAATTCTAGGGAAGCTATGATAGATCCTGCATCTAAAACAGCACCTGCGCGTTTGATATAAGTGACAGTACCAGATTCATTAGCTGTCAATGTCATTACCATTTTCATAACCTAAAATATCAAAGCAAGTATTACCTGCACTTAAATATAAAAAGTCAACAAGAGTTAGGTAGCAAGAACGGATATTAAGTGATAACTTTTGCATACATTTTAGTCATCGTTCTTGCTGCTGACAATCACTAAATTATAGAATAGTTACAATAAATCCTGTTAGTACCTCGATTTCAGCATATGCCTGTCCTTTCTGCACGTGTCCGCCATCTTCTACAACATAACCTATTAGTTTTCCGGCTGATGGTGATCTTAAAATTGTGGGATCGTTTTCTTTTTCAAATACACAAGTTTGGTTACCGATAACTATGCGATAACGGTCTACTTCTTCTTTCATATATGTGGTAAAAGATGCGCCGTCCACAGAAAGTAAAATTCCTTAAAAAAATAATAAATGTAAATACAAATAACTGGGGTGTCTTTATGTTAAAATTTTGGAAGCTACGAAACATAAAAGTGGTTTATAAAATTCATCAAAAACAAAAAAACTTATTTGTATAAAACTGTAAATATTTATTTATTGTCGAGTTGTCCATTAAGCATCTAAGATTAGTCACCGAGTAATCATATCACAATAAGCATAAAAGGTCTGGAAATAGGTACATTAGTGTGTACAAATCTTTACTAAGATCTGGCGAGCGCTTTCGGCTTTGTAAAGCCATTATCATGCCCTTCGCCGGGTAGATACATCAAAGAAAAACATTGAATATTAACATTCAGACAACGTAAATCAACAATTAATAATTGGTCCAACATTTGTTATTTTAGTAATTAAAGTCGTTAATGTTAGTTATTTAAATTGGATTAAATTTATCCACTAAGTATCAATGATCGAATAAAATGCCTATTCGTTTACTCATCAGACAAAATCTACAAGGCATTTAAAAAACAAAACGTCACTAAGCCTACAGCATCACCATTCCAGACAGAGAGACCAATAGAGCAAGGATGGCTCCAAAACGGAGTAGGAGCAGAAGTATTGGGAAAAAGCCAAGAGTTGACAAATAAATAAACCTGGGATATTTTACCACGGTCGTCCAAGCAGAAATGATCGCTATAGAAATTAGAGCGAAAGAATTTCGAACAAAATATTTTTTTAACTCCAAACGAGTTGATTTGAAGCTGGGTTGGAACTGTATAAATACCCTCGAGTATATCGGCGAACAGCGGTTTGGAGAACAATGAAAAAACCGAACGTCTTCGCTAAAAGAGGAATCGAATCTAAGTTCATGAGACCAGAAATATTCATTGGCGTTGCAAAGAACACTGCCACATAATGATTTCAAACTGAACAGAGGGTGTAACATTCATGTACTAAACAGATAGGTACCCAAGGACTAATTCATTCGAAGGCGTTTTTACTCAATCCTTCAATAAACGGCTCACCTAAGATAATGGAAGTAGGAACGACCTAGTCATTTTTAGGAAACTGATAATATTAAATTTTCGTCTTGGATAGGTCTCAATCATCAGCCAGTCAATTTTGTAATGTTGCAGACGAATCTGAATTCTATGTATCTGCTATGTCTGTGTTGGAGAGAAATAGGTTCCAAATCTTTAGTTTTACCCAATTGGAGCTTAAAGACTTTAAACAAGTTTACCTAACTCAACCTTAAAGTTTTAATTTATAAACCTTATCTCTAAGAAAAGTCCTACAAAGAAAAAAAAAATGAAAATAAATTGTAGTAACACAAATTTAAACACCAAATAAAAATTTGATATTTACAGTTTTGTTAGTCCCGTATAATTTTTTTCATCATATACCGGTACGGAACATCCTGTATAATTAAAATTAGTTCTTATAAAATATGTGCACTTACCACCATCGTTTAATCTATGTAGTTCAATTTCCTTAAACGAACCGCTCATGTGTAAGAAGTATGTGTTCTGGCCACTTTTGGTAGCTTGTATTTTGTATTTATTACTAAAAAAAGAAAAAATTATAAATCTAATAGCGAATTGTCCTATTAAAAAAATTATAAATATTGAAAAACATCGAAAATATAGTCTAGCAAATTTGTGTCACTTAAAAATAATTAGGTACTAGCTCGGAGACTAGTTAAAATTGAAGAAGAAAAAAAACGTCAGGTATTTAAAATAAAGTGTTTTTACAGCACTACTGCCTGAAACCACATTTTTTTTCACATTTGAGTTTCTAGGTAGAAATACATGTTTTTTTAAGACCGACCAGAAAATACACATTTTCTAAACAATTTTTCGTCCAAAAAATAATATTTTGTCGATCAAGACAGGAAAGTAGACGTTAGGGATCGGTAAAAGCTTTTATCGCCAAACGTCAATAAAGCCATACATTACCATAGCGATTTTCGGAAGTAAACAAACACAATCTCACTGTAAAAATAAAATATTTTATCTGCTGCTAATATTTATCAACATATCCATGTCCGTCTGACAGAAATAGTAGTTAACTGATTTGTTTTGTATTCTCTCTTTGTTTACTTTGTCATACTAAAATGTGATGTTATAATATCTCCTTTTTTAATTAATTATAATTATTTACGGTTGGCGATAAAAGTTTGTATGGACCACGTCAGCAAAGTGTCATTATCGAACTCGTATGTTACTCGCCTCGCTCGCTTCTTTCGCTCGGCTCATAATCTCAGACTAATTTGATAAAGAATCACTTTGCTGACTTGGCACATAAATAACTATTACCGGTCTGTTTTTAATTTTTCCGATAGCTATTTGATAATAGAGTCTGCCTCTATTTTGTTACTATGGTAACAACGTTCCGATTTATTGCCAAGTGACAATGCGCTAGTTCAGTGTGATGTCATTTTGGTTCCACTGACATTTAATTCTAACCAAACTTTTAACAAAATCATCAATAAATTTGACATATACGTTTTTGCTGTTTTTATTTTATTTCAAAATATTGTTTACAGGTCATAAAAAATAGTTTAAAGGTATGTAATTGGTAACTAAACGATTGTATATTTGATACATGCTATCTACTTACTTTAGGATTCATAAAAGTGAAAAAAACGATATAATTTAGGTAAACAAAACGAACAAAACGCACTCAAAAAATCTACTGTCACTTTAATTGTCAGTGGAACCATAATTACATCATCACTGAACTAGCGCATTCCTTGATTTTTAATTTGTTGTTTATGTCAAACTTGTTTTCGCAAATTTAAAAATATAGATTCAGATTTTGAATTAACTGACATAGAAAATAATGTATTTGGTTAGTTTATGCAGTTGAATCAATTATCTAGTTTTAGTAGTTGTTAATCACTTTATTAAATAAAATAAATAAATGAGATTACATCGAAACATCGGCTTTAAAAAAATATTGTACGTCACGCGACCGAAAATTAGTGTTAAGCAGGTCTCTTCAAGCTTCCAGGTCTCGCCTACGGTTCGCCCTGGAATCTGCTTGACTCGACCTGCAAAACACTACTTTCTGGTCTTGTAACGTAAATTACTATTTTAGAGATGTATCCACTGAATTTAAACAAGTTGATACAAATGATTTTTTCAATATATTTGGTCTCACAAGGCAACAAAAAGCAAGCACCATATTAAATATATTGACACTAAGCCTATAATCTTAAAAAAAAATTATACGAATTTATTTCTGTATAAATAACCCATAATTAGATTATGTAAGGCCATTACTTGCAAAACTTGTTATTTGTTCGAAAGCAATTTTTTGTACTAAAGGAACCTTATAACGCAACTTTTATTAAAAAAATAATGTTTAATTAAAATGAAAAAAATAAAAACTACCGAAGAAGGCACTCATCAGTGCCGAAAGCTATAACCAAACACACACGATTTTTATTTGATCTACAAGCACCTAAAAACCCAAGAACTACCAACTTAATTTCTTAACATCTAAGGTTCCAAAGTCAATAGACCCTTGCTGATTTTTTAAATTCGACTGCTCTGTATTTTAAGAAATTTTACAAAAAAAAGATGTCGATTAGCGAGTTTTGCAAATAACTACTAGAATTATTCCTTATTATGTTATAATCTATCAATTTCTAAAATACTAATCATAAAACAGCTTCTAAACTAGCAAACTAATATTCCAATAATCCAGACTTTTTTTATAAATAATCCCACAGTTTATGTATTTATTAAGAGATTGCAATATTTAAAGTTTTTGTAAAATTATAATCTTAAAATACTATAATTTGCTTGAATAGTTCAGTTTTAATATTATGTTATTTACTTTAACATGTAATCAATAATATATGGTATTTTACTATAATTAGCATAATAAGCTTGTAAATAAATAAATAAATAAAAAAACATATTTAATTATAGGATAGTTTGGTTGGATGTTTATTAAGCACCATTTTTAATATTCGTAATTATCGGAACTTGTTCCAATTTTTTATACGAGTGTGTGTATGTGTACTGTGTACTATAATGGTGGTATTAAAATTAAATAAAAAAATGTACATCAAACAGATAAGGTTAACTAAATATAAATAACTGTCGTTTTTTTCTGTATTCTACATCTGTTTGGTATATGAAAATTAGTTTCATCTGTTGTTGTTAATGATATTTGATAAGCTATCATCCTTTTCATTTTTAAAACATTTTTAACGTTATTTCAAAAAAAAAAAAAAAATGCGTCCAATCCAGCCTGGATTACAAATAATTATTTACTCACCCATCATTGATGAGTTCAACGTCTACAACATTTGTAAGAGTATTGGAGCCTTGAATTTGTCCTCTTTCTAGCGAAGTCTGGAATTCTTGGAATGCATTTGTTATACTTTTATCAGCTATATGCAGGGCACCGCATATTACTCCTAACATGATGTCTGGTTTTTCAGATTGCATCCTTTCAGAAATTAATATATCTAACCAGGCAGTGTCGATGGTGTTTTCCTATAAAATAACAGCATAAAAGAATTAAAAAACCATTTTATTGAACTGAAAGAGACAAAAGTAAAAACTATTGTTACCTGAAAAGTTTTTGTTTCTAACAAAGTTATAAGATATTCAACGGTCGTCCTAAAGTCTCCCCTAATAGACAATTCTTTTAAAGCAATGACTAGATTTTCTCTGGCTTGTTCTCGATTTTCACCCCACGAGAAACAATGCCCAAATTGTGAATCGGCAAACTCGTGCAATCCTCCTGAAGCTGCCACTGAGAAATAACCCCATACATTTTTCGAAGAACGGAAATTCAGTTCCTGAACTGTTCCAGAACTGGGTTTGAAACCTAAAATTAATAAATTTATTTGAATGTTACTTATTTCATACATATATACTTAACATTTTATTCGGGGAATAAGATAATTTTCGTTTTACCTTCATCGGGATTCTCAGATGTAATTCTTGCAGCAATAACGTGACCCCAAGGTTGTGGTTTATGCCTAGGTTGGTCAAAATCAATTTCTGTAGAACCCCAAGGAGATTCTCCATACAATAATCTTATATCTTTGATGTAATGTAAAGGTAAACCCATAGCAATCTAAAAATATTTAAAATAATTCCTCAAACTGAAATCAACTTATATATTTAAATTACATTTTATATTTAATTTTAGACAACTTACTTGTAATTGCGCAGCTGGTAAATTTACGTCTGAAACCATTTCTGTACAAGGATGTTCAACTTGAAGCCTAGGATTCAATTCCAGGAAATAATATTGTCCAGACGGATCATATAAATATTCTACTGTTCCTGCAGAAACGTAACCTACCATTTTGGCCAATCTTACTGCGGCCTAAATAAAAATAAAAATTTAGTAATGCAGTATTGAGCCATAGAATAAAAAATTATTAACCTTCTCCATATCTTCGAATACGGATGGCTCAGCAATAACAGCTGGAGCTTCTTCTATGATCTTCTGATGTCTTCTTTGTATTGAACAATCACGACCAAAAAGAGAAATAGCATTACCATACATATCAGCTATCAATTGTACTTCCAAATGTCTCGCACATTTAGCTAACTTCATTACAAAGATAGGAGAACCGGGTATTTCAGTTTGTACCTAAACAAATAAAATGTTTTAATAATTTCGTTGATTTACACCAACTCACTTGTTAAAAAGAAAGCATGTTTAGTATAATATTTACTTGTCTGAAAGCTGCTGCAAAATCATCAGGATGTTCTACTTTCCTGATACCTTTACCACCACCACCTTCTGAAGCTTTAATCATAACCGGAAATCCTATTTTATGAGATGCGGCTAAACCTTCCTCAGCTGTGTGGACGCAACCTTTGGCAAAGAGGTCCGATGATATTTTAATTTTTTTGCCGCTGTACTGTGCAGTTAGTCCTACAAAAAGATGTAAAATTGTAAACTAATTATTATTCATAGTAATCAAAATTATCGAACGGTAAAGAATAGGTACACACCAGAACCAGACCAGGGTAAAGTAGGTACTTCAGCAGTTTGAGCTACCAAAGAAGAGGCAATTTTGTCTCCCAATGCCCACATAGCTTTCTCATTTGGACCAATAAATGCAATGTTGTTTTTATGAAGTAATTCCGGCAATTTTGGATTTTCTGAAGCATGACCCCATCCTGCCCACACGGCCTACAAAAAAATGATTTTAACACCTTTCTCTTGTTTTCTGTACCTCGACTTCATTGTTCAACTGAATGATAATTTACCTGTACTTGACATCTAACAGCGATGTCAATAATAAGTTCTACATTGGCATAGTTATTGTTATTTGTTCCTCCAGGTACAGGTACATAGTGATCGGCCATTTTGATGTACTCAGCATTGGCTTTAAGATCTTCTGGTGTTACCATAACGACGAAACGGACAGCTCTTTCATTTTTGAACATTTCATACGACCATCTTCTTACTGATCTCATACATTTTACTGCTGCTATACCATTATTTGCTATTAAAACCTGCAAAAAAAGTTATACATTTTTTAAATAGATTTTTAATATTATTACAAGTGACAAAAAATTAATATACTAAATTGGAAATTGTTGTGGAAATTACCACCGTTATGATAGTGGAAAAAAAGTGTCACTTAATAATTATTATTAGTAATAAATTATTTATATCAATAATCAATTTCCAATAATTAAAGAACAAATAAACTAGAAAATCGTGTTTATTAATATATCATCATTTTTACTGGATATTCAGACTTCTACGTCAGTTAATAGGTATATTTGTTTTATTTCTTAATTTATTATTAACACACGAAAGGATATTTTCAAACCAACTTATTTCGCTAATAAAGTCATATTGATATTAAAAATGTACCTTATTAATTACTCTAGTACCATTGAACCGTTTTACAAATTCTTCTGGAGTGGCTACGGTAAAATTCTTCTCTTCTTGTCTATTATGAAGCATAACAGTCCCTTGGGACATGCTAGGCCTGAAAAAAAAAACAGTTTTAAATGATAATTACATTTTAGGAGTATTTTTTTATATTCAATATTCATACATGAATGAGAACAATTTAGTTTCTATCGTTCTCAAATTTAAATGAGCTTTTCTAAATAGATTTGTAATCATTTTATTATATATTTAACAGAAATAAATATAGATATAATTATAAAAATAACCGAAGTCAATCAAAACAGCAAAGCTTATGTACACCCCGCACCACGCCACTGGTGTATATTTAGAGATAGGGTCAGGGATAGGGCATCTAAAAACACACAACCAGTAATGCAGCAATCTCATAATTTTAGCTGCCTAACATGGAGGAACCTAATCTTATGAGATGAGAACAAAAAGCAGGTTTATTATATTGATTTATAAATACATATAAAATTTTGGGAAAAATGTTGATGAAAAACATCCGCGTCAAGGTTATACAAGGTGGGTACTTTTTAATGGATTTTTCGCAAACCGTTGGTGACACAAAGTTGGTTAAATGGGAAAAAAGTTGTGTGCCCAATCTGAGGACGTTTTGAAAACCAAAATATCAGGGACGGTTTATGAGATATTCGCTAAAAAACAAATTAGTTCCATTTCCTTATTTTATTTATTACAATACGTTTATTTTCGAAAATAGAGAAAAGCTCAAGGTTTTTTATTTTATATCATGTTTTGCATATGATAACAATTTTAAATTTTTTTATGTATGACATTTCGTAAATTCAGACAAATAATTTTAATAGATGTTCAATGCTAAATACAATAATGTAACATATTATTGTGATTAGTCAACATTTCGGAAGATTTGAACATCATCAGGTAAGTTTAGTTACTAGTACAGACCTATATTATGAATTAATTGAAATAAGAAACTACATTTTAAAAATCAAACGTACATTTATCTTTAGTTAACTAATGACGAAAATAAATTATTTGAAAACATATTTTACAGTTTAATATGTTCAACCATGTAATTTCAACGTATATTGTGAAAATTACGACTGCAGATGAAAATTTTATCGTCGTTATTTAATATTCATGATTTCTAAAATCGAAAATACAGCTTTTACTAATCCAAACATTTTTAACTAAAAAATACAGTACTTATCTGATGATGTTTAAATTTTCCGAAATGTTGACTAATCACAATATGTTGTTACGTCATTGAAGATGCATTAAAATGATCTGTCGGAATAACGCTGATACTATTCAAATAAAGAAGTTGATGGTGTTCCTGCATTTACGAAACGTCGGATAAAAAAATATAAATATACCGTCATATAACTTGATATAACACAAAAAACATTCAATGAGTTTTGCCTATTTTTGAAAATAAACTTTCTGTAGTGTAATACATAAATGGAACTATTTTTTTTTTAATATTTCTGAAATCGGGCCTGATATTTTGATTTTCAAAACATCCACAGATTGAGCTTCGAAATATACAATTTTTTCCTCATTTAACCAACTTTGTGTTACCAACAGTATACGAGACAACAATACATTTCAATTAAATAGTGGCCACCTTGTAGATATTTTTAATTGGGAGTCACGTGGTTTTATTTAACTTAAATTCAATTACCTAAATAATTAAAATTTTGAAACATTTTATTTATACACATAACCGTTTTAGGAAGATTTTCTTTAGCGAAAATAAGTGCTGATAAAGGTTAAGATTGTTCAGCCATTATTCAAACACTAAGAAATACTTCACAGGGAAGAGAATTATTAAGTTTGTCCACTTTGGATTAAAAAAAAAATGTAGTACGTGTCTTAATAAAGTCAGATCTAGACAGCTCTTCTTGCAGCCAGATTCCCAAATGGCTAAATCTCGCTTTTACCAGATCCATAAATAAATCATATCTAAAGAGTCCCTTCTTCCTACAGTCCCTACCTATTTACTTTTTGGTGGGAAAGACGCTTTCTATAGTTATTCAAGGACGTAGTTTATCCAAAAGAACTCAAAATATTTTGCAAAATGAGATCATTTGTAATAGAAAAATTTCCGTGCTTAAAAATAATAGTATGAAATGTTTAAACAAATTAACAAATAAACACATTCAATTATATTATTATTTATCAATTAAATTATGTTAAAAGAATATTGACAGTAAGTGGTGCAACAATAAACATGTTTTTTTAATCAGAAAACAACTAAGTAACATTTACCTAGAAATGTTCAATTAAGTACTAATTTAAAACATAGGAACACGTATATTATTATTTATTCGTTTATTATCAGTACATGCTTGGACTAGTGGAAAAATACCAAGCGGTTGAATGCCAACTGGGGGCGTCTCCGGATGGTGTGGATAGGAGAACAGTCAGGATTTCCCTAATTAATAGTAGACAGTAGAGTGAGAGCCTAAAAACTTTCAAAATCTTTTGTGAAGGCTACCGCCGCTAACCAATTCCCCTAAACTAAGGAGTAAGGGGATGAATCGTCGCAGGGGTAGATGCGGCAGCAAACGCTTTCGAGGGTACCTGGCGACATCCTCTTGCCTAGCCTTGCCGGCGCATGCGGAGCTCTGCGTCGGTAGACCTTTCTTTCCATAGCTACTCGTGGGAACCATATGAATTAAACACAAAAACAAACACCCAAGGAGGCTGGACGTCAACGCTCACCTCCAGCAAAGGACGCTGAACAACAAAGTTCAACTCCCGCGTAAGGAGGCTTGTCAGCGACGCCCACCTCCAAAAAACTAGTTCACTTCAAACTGACAAGCATCGGAGAGGCAAGAGGATCTCTAGTTCTGAAGAGAAGAGGAGGAAGGGTAAACTGCAGGCAGGCAAAGCTGAGGCAACTGCCACCCTCAGCATACGCCCTCATTCCAAACCAAACACAAGTCCTTAGGTAGCGACGCTAGTTCTGTATCCACAAGAGGCCAGAAACACGACGCAACCAGGGACAAGAAAAGGCCGCGATCTGGCACCTCTTCTGAGGCAACGTGTCGGAAAGCGAAAAACCTAGATTACCTCAAAGTTCTGATAAACTACAAAGATGCAGCCACGAGCCACCTGGAAATAGCTATAATAGACAAGGATAACCCTTACGATAAGGTAACTACCGAAAGATATATCCTTGCCTAAAAGAAACTGATGGCTGGACAAAACAATTTTGTCCGTCACCTGCAGTAAAACCAAGCCACCCAGATTCAGATCTTGGATGCACTCTGGCGAAATTATCAAGAGTAACATGCGAAGATGATCTGAAGTTCAAAAAAGCTAAAAACCAAAGTACCAATCTTAAAAAGATGGGAAGGAGCAACACTCGCTGTTGTAATAGTGGACGAGCTCCAGAAAGATTCTCTCCGAATCCCAGGGAAAGCGCAACCTGACCTTGATGAGGAGGTTATGCGACTTAAGGAGCAAAATCCCAACTTGCATGTGGCGAAATAGTGCACGTTCCACCATGAAACCAAAGAGACCTCAAAGGTCATCTCTATTGCATCGGAGACGAAGACATGGGAATCCTAAAGGTCAAATCGATGAAGGGTAAGCTACGCCTTCACTTCATTGACTATAAGGTCAAGGGTCGAAAAGCAGGTTGAAGCGGGGTCCAGTGAAGAATCCTCTGCAGATGACTCTCTTCCCCTCCCAAGTACATAGAGCCAACAGTAGAGGCCATCGAGAAAGAAAAAATGGCAACCGACGATCTCCAGCAAGACAACTCGATGGAGTCACACGAGACCACCCCCTCCCCACTTTCCGAGGAGAGGATGATCGAATAAATAACCAAACTTCAATGGGGGGTCGGGAAGCAATTAAAGAGATCATACAATGTAACTTGCACCTCAAAAGGGTTGCTACGGTAATATTATGCCGCAGCCTTGATGAGCTGAAAGATACAATAGCACTTATCACAAGGAATCCTTGATAATAAAAATCAAAATTTTAGACCTGAAAAATTTAAATGGTTAAATGTTTAGATTTCCCAGGAACCAGCAACCAACAACCTAGGACAGCCATTTACTTTCCTAGGAAATACAAACCCCACTCAATGGCGCACCTTTCCATCAAAAGGGAAAAGAAAACGTTGATCCTGGCATCTGCATACCACTCCTCAAACGCAACCATGCCACTACCCCGTAAAGAGATGGAGGATCTGATTGAATACTACCTGAACCAGAAGTTTGAGCTGATAATAGGTTGCGACTCAAATGCTCATCACTTCAGTTGGGACAGTAAGAATAACATCTTCCGAAGACAGCGATGCTCCAAGAAGCTCTTTCCGTAGATCCATACCGCAGTATTGGTGCGCTAATCAAAGAGGATGGCATAAAAACTGGAAACCTCGAAGATAGCACCAAACTTCTGCTATCAACATATTTCTCTGACTCGTTCATCACAGACGAGAAAGAATAAAACCCATCTATCTACGATTGGCAAACTGCCAAACACTACAACACCACTACACCCAAATCAACATGCACACACCCCAAGCAGATCTACTGATTCAGCCCTTCACCTAGTTGCTGGCCCGATAGAGATCTCTGGACAATAAAGAGTCCGCCATGATTGTATTCATGTCAACTACTTTCTTAATCAACAATGCTTGAGACAATGTTGTTTAATACTCGGTTTTATATTATACTGTAGAAAACGTTTAATGAACGTTTATGCAACAGGCTGATAGTGTGTTGTTGAAGTCGCACTAGTACTAATACTTTTTAAGCGTATTGAACCCATATTCGTTTTTATCCAATCATGTTAATAATAATGTATTCTTAATTACCTACACATGTGTAATTTAATGCTATTTATAAGACAATTTATTTAACAAAACTCTCTTTATAATCTAATTAGATTGCCGTTATTTTAAATGGGTTCAGTTAGAATTTTTTGGTTGAAAATCTACGAGTGCATGTTGACTTACATATACTTACGTTTTTAAACTATTTGTACACAAAAAATATTACGTATGCAGTAGGTACCTAGATAAAGTAAATATTATAATGGGTCGTTGAAAAAAGATAATAATAATGACTATCT